TGTGTGTGTGTGTGTGTGTGTGTGTGTGTGTGTGATGTATACAACAGCTTTTCATTGCAGGATTCCCAACTCAGCGTCTTCCCTTCCACAGCGGTGTTTTGACATTAACACCTTACTCTTGGAAATTGAAGCCTGAAACTGCTCGGTGCTCTCTTTCTCACACATAAGGGATCCAAATAATACAGAATGTGAATGTGGCCTTTTGACAAAGAAACCCGAGCTCTGCAGTCTTACTGTGCAGTCAATACGTGCAGACTCAGAAATCCCAACACACCTTATAAGCGTGATTTTTTACTGGAGCAACACAACATGTCCTATGTTTCAGTTGTTTTATACAGCACACATATATTTGGCTGTTTGTGCCTGTTGGGACTTTATTGATATCTTTAATTTTATTGAATTTGGAAAAGTGTGCAAGACAAGTTCAAGGCATAAAGGCCCAGGAATCAAACCAGGAAGTCAGTGCTTGGTGGGTCACACTTAGGGATTTCACTTCAGATTTTGGCCCTGACCACTCAAAACTAAAACCATAAAATACTCAAAGTACAGCGAGTTCTGATTGTAGGAGCTAAATTCTCTTTTTTACGTTTGAAATTATTATTAGTTGTTTAATGCCTTTAGGATTTCTTTCTGTTGTAATATTTTGTATAAATTGTTTTTTTTTTTTTGTTGCATTATTTTAAGTGCGAATATTTGTTAAAACTGGGAAACCCATGAATATGTGACCTGAAATTGGACCAGCATGCAATGGGTCAGTCCGCAGCTGAGCTCCGGCCCCAAAGAGCACCCCTCCCCCGATGCACTGTTTGACAATGTCCTGAAGTGGAAGTGTCAGAAATGGTAGAAAGTTCTTAAAGAGACAGAGGCACGTGGCGGCACGATGGATCAGTGGTTAGCACCGACACCTCACAGCAAGAAGGTCCTGGGTTCGATCCCTGGTTTGCACCTGGGGTCTTTCTGTGTGGAGTTTGCATGCTCTCCTCGTGCTTGTGTGGGTTTTCTCAGGGCACCCCCCCCCCCCCCGCCAAAAAAAAAAAAAAAACATGTACATTAGGTTGCCTTCAGGCCCAGACCTCCCTTNTACATTAGGTTGCCTTCAGGCCCAGACCTCCCTTGCAAAAGAGATCTGAGATCTCAATGGGACTTGCCAGGTTAAATAACAGTAAATTAAAAAAAGACAGAGGCTAATGACTTTTAGACAGGCTATGAGGCAAAGTCAAATTTATTTTTGATACACAGCATTTTCATAACAACTGAAGGTAACATAGTTACTTGATTGTGGTAAAGAATTAGATTATGATCCAGAAAAAATGCATAATACCTCCCTTTAATGATCAAACCAGTGTGATTAATGCAAATTCAGTTTAAAATGAAAAGGATAGCTCATAGAGAATGCCAACATAACATTTGTCTGGCCTGGTTCTGGCCCACTTAATGCACTAGACACTAACATTTGGCAAGATATTGCAAAGAATGACGACCCTTTGGTGGCCCAGATGTGGTCCATGCATGGGCCAGCACCACATAAACTAAGCCAAAACTGGGCCAGCTGTGGCATGCCATCCTAAAAACAGTGTCATTACAGCCAGACCTGGTCCACATCTGGTTGACAAGCCCCTTGTCATGCCAGAAGTCAGCCAGCTTGGGACCAGATCTGGCCCACACCTGTCTTTAATGGAGGCTATACTAAAAACAAATAAATTCCAGTAACTGTTAAACGCTGCTCTCCACAAGGTAAAGTCCTCTGCAGTTTGATTTCAGAGCAGGAGTTAGTCTAAAAACAGTCTAAAACAAAAAGGTCTCCAGTTTAGAAGATTGGTATAATTTATGACTTACCAGCCGTCATTTATCTATTGGATTTACTGAGAGGTCTTTGTTATGGGAAGCTTTTCTGGAAATGACATGCTTTGCTTTACAGCAGTGATGCAGATGTGACGCAAGGCCACTTCATGGAGGAGCTGTTGTCATCCTCCTGTGGTCGGTGTGGGACTAACATCTCAGTGAAACAGGCGAAACCATAGAAATGTTGTTACATTTAAAAAAAAAAAACTTTTTACTTCATAGGATGTCTTCAAAAACCAAAAATTGATATTGTTTACTTGAGATTCTGATAATTATGTAGTTTTTTTTTTTTTTCTGAAAGCTGATATCTATTTTGTCTGGGTGATTTGGCATCAGCTGCACATTAAAAAGCACTGTTCAAGGTTTCCAGTGCAGTTCAGTGGTGGGAAATCATCTGTTATACCATGTGCTTCCATCCTCCCAACATTAAAGGGCAAACACCACTCCAGTAGTTTCAGATAGGATGATGTAGGTTCTCCTGTCGCTGCCAATGAGTTTATTTGTGTTGCTATTGTGCCCTCTAGTGTGAGATGTAGAGAAGCCTGTATAACAGCAGGTCTCCCTTTCTTTATTCTCACTGGGCAGACACAGCAGAGCAGAATATTTAATTAAAATCGCCTGCAGCCCATCAGCTCTACATTCAGGCAACTGTGACAGTTTTTAATATCGCAGCCTACAGATTAATGCTGCTGACTCCGACAAAGTCAATGCCCTTTCTACAGATAACAATCAACACCAAATGTTCCACTGACTGTGGCGTGTGAAAAATAAATAACACCACAACGGGAGAAAGGGGCCATGGTCTGATGGCTTGAAAAATAAACGAGTCAGTTAGCCGTTTTGAGTCAGGGCAAAGTCAGGAGAAAATCCAGTGGAGTTTGCTGAAACGTGGCAGCAAGCCACGCAACTCAAGTGCCCACTCGGCACGGCTGAACTGTAGCCGGCCCTGGAGGGACGTGAGTTATATGGCACTAAATCAGTCTCACATCCAGCTGACTTCCAGCTTCTGGTCTGTAGTCAGCACAGACATTCATGCAGTTAATGTTGAGGCTGTCTGCATGAGCTGCAGTCAGAGCCTTTACTGCAGAAACTGAAGAGGGCAGACTAACATTTGGGTGTGTGTTATTGGCAGTTCTGATATTTCAAAACATAAAAACAATACTTTTATTGTCTGTGAAAACAGCTTATTTCAGCTTTTTGCCTTGACCAAAAAAGTAAACATAATTTGTGCTTGAGACCAATTCTGATCACAGTATTCAAGTGAAACTAGTGTGAAATAAAACTGCAAGACCTTATTTGAACATTCTTGTAATATAGCTCCTATTCTATCTAAAGTCTGATAAATAAGATCCTTTGTTGTGATTAACACACTGATGCCGGCATTGAGACTAAAAACTAAACCCACGTGATACAAGAATACACAAGCTTTCTCATTAACGACAAATTTCATTTCAAACTGCTCAACTTTATTTAGAATATTTAGCAAGAAATCGACTTAACAGCAACATAAGGATTTTTTGTTAAAAAGTGGTAAAAAATACCCCCCCCCCAAAAAAAAAAAACACATGTCAGACAAGTGATCTTTTAACATCATGTTGTTTTGTTCTCTTCTTCTAGACATCTGTTTCTCAGTCATTTTATTGCATTATCTCATGTTTTTGTTTCGTCTCTGTCTGGTTGGTGTGGATGAGGCGATGCTGTCAGTTGGTCAACAATGCCCAGCTCCACAGTTCACTTTCGCCTTTTGTCTGTGATTGGCCCTTGGTTACCACGGTGGTGACATTGGCTGTGGGTTCTGGAGATAGGACATCACAACTGCTGAGATGGACAACCTAGAAATGAAAACAATAAAAAGAGAGAAAAAGAAAAAAAAATTATTGTGCCATATTAAATTCATGTCAGACTGAATGCGAACTGTTCAGAGTATTTTTTTTAAACGTAAAAATGCAGAATTGTTGGTTCAGAATTATTTTGGCTTCTTGTTAAAAATCAGGTTTGCGATATTTCAATTTCAAAGGGTCTTTAAAGTGCCCGCCACATCATATTTTTTTAATAACTATGAATGCATCTTTGGAAAGATAACACTAATAACGTATTACAAAACAAATTTTACGACTCTCAGATGAACAATTGTTGAAATATTTGCATGTGAAGCAACAGGAAGTGATGTCAAAGGGGAATGTCTGCATGTGAACAGAGTGTTACTAGAATAGCTGACAACACAAACTGTAGAGAAGAATTTGACGTTTCTTCAATTCATTTTGAGTCACTATCAGAGAGATGACGAAGAGTTGGAGTTCAAAAATACTGTTTTAATAAACAAAGACCAGTGAGTTTTCATTCTTAAAGAGTTCCCCTTTGATGTCACTTCCTGTTGCACTTTTGCTGAACCAAGTTCAAAGAAATAATGCCAGTTGTGTGACAAAATGGATAAAAATTGTGTGTTTTATGCCAAGTTCCTTACATATAAAGATATTTTCTTTGACTTTTTGTATATGAAGAATATACACGTCACAGGCACTTTAATTATTAAGCGTACATTAGCTTACAAGTTAGCATATCATAAAATACTGCAGCTGAGAACAGCTGTTATCAGGACCAAAACTTTTATAAATGAGCTTCTTTTCTTTTTATCCAAATACATTAAGGTAGATTCTTTTGGTAAACTCAATGACTCACTGTCCSTCCACAGTTTTAATTAGCTTATTTAAGCCTTTGTTAAATGTCAACAAGGTTACTTAAATCATATCCTGGCTTTTGACCAATGTCCCAAATTTGGCCTTGAACAAGCCTCTACGCACACGACTGTTGTGCCCAGTTTATCCGCTGATATCATTTGCTGAGCTAAACATTTTTTTTTGTGTGTCACTAAGCTATGAGTACATTTAGCTTATCTTTAACACAACCTCATCTAGACAATGGACATGGAGGTTTCCCCTCGTTGTAAATCTGTCTGTGAAGGCTTGTTTTAGTGCACTTTTTATAGGCAAATGTGTCCTCCAGAGGGGTCAGGCAGTAAAAAAGTTTTTTTTTATAACAAGATTGGCTTGTGTGACATCTCTGTGCCAAGATCTAACTTCAATTACCTCAGCTGGCATAATTCTGGATTTTAATGTAAATGAAGCTAAAAACTTGCCACTAAAAACTTGCACATTTGGCTCAACATAGCAAGCTCAAACATTAACACGTCTGCAAAGCATACCCCTCTTTTCTTATCATTAAGAGTTGGTAGGGGGGGATTAAGCAGTTTGTCTACAGTCAAAGTTTTCAAGTAATTTCTGGAAGTTGAGTAAGCCTAAAATGCTACACAGTGATACAGATTTGTATCTAAAGCTTCAGTCTCATTTGTTGCTGCTGTAAATTTTCTAAAAGCTCCAAATGAAAAATGAAGAGAACCATAAAATATTTCAACGTTGGCGCCGGCCATGGATTTTGAAACGAAAGCATAAATTAGCAGTTTAAGTCTAAACATATTCAGTTCACCACAGGTGTATATCCTATTTAGTTTCAGAACACAAACACGCATGAAGCTGAATACTCACATAAAGCTGCTCATCATCTGTTTGGTGTCTTCTGAGCTTCGTGAGTTTGCGAAACTGATGAACGAGCAGTAGACTGCGATCCAGGCACACCACTTCAACTGAAAAAAACAAACACGTTTCAACTTTGTGTGGACCCAAACCTTTTCTGTCACCTGATGCGCTGATTCACTCGCTTTTTACCCTTTTTTCTATTTTAGTTTTATTATCTTATATTTTTGTGACCTGACTGGTTGAAAGCTGCTTTTTTTACATATCTATTAAAAAAAAGAAAAAAAATTATATAGGTCTTCTGGACGGGTTCTTCTTTAATGAAACGTTTCGTCTCTCCTCCAAGAGACTTCTTCAGTCTGAGAGTTTCAGGCAAAATTCAGGCTTTTAAGCCCTGCCTCCATGTGACTGATACTCACATCACATGGCTATCATTGACACCTAATTAACACCTATTGTTAACAGGGGTGGAGTGATTCTGGCAATAGCCGCGCTGTAGGAGGGGGACAACTGAAAACGGAGGCCTCCACCTCTGTTTAATGATGGACGGTCTTTCTTCACAAAAATGGCTTCTTTTACTCCTCTCTCAAACCAACGTTCCTCTCTATCAAGAATGAGAACATCCTCATCTCTGAAAGAGTGACCGCTGGCCTGTAAATGAGTGAAAACTGCAGAGTTCTGGCCAATAGATGTAGCTCGTCTGTGTTGGGACATTCTTTTGAACAGTGGCTGCTTTGTTTCCCCGATGTATAACTGGTCGCAGTCCTCCTGGCACTTAACAGCATATACAACATTGCTCTGTTTGTGCCGGGGCACCGGATCWTTGGGGTGAACCAGCCTTTGCCGTAATGTGTTTTGGGGTTTGAAAGCTACTGGGACATCATGTTTAGAAAATAAACGTCTCAGTTTCTCCGAAACACCCGCAACATACGGAATAACCACTGGTTTGGGTCTGGGTTTGGGGGTTTTCATTTTCACCTGAAGGTTGCATGGAYTCCTGTCTGTGTTTCCTGTCTGCTATTTAGTATTTTATAACCGAGACCGTCTATCATTAAACAGAGGTGGAGGCCTCCATTTTCAGTTGTCCCCCTCCTACAGTGCTGCTATTGCCAGTATCACTCCACCCCCTGTTAACAATAGGTGTTAATTAGGTGTCAACAATAGCCATGTGATGTGAGTATCAGTCACATGGAGGCAGGGCTTAAAAGCCTGAATTTTGCCTGAAACTCTCAGACTGAAGAAGTCTCTTGGAGAAGAGACGAAACGTTTCATTAAAGAAGAACCCGTCCAGAAGACCTATACAATTTTTTTCTTTTTGATTTTTTACCTGGATTACTGAGATGCATCAGGACACAATCTATTAAAAATATCCCAAGTAATGTAATCCTTTGGAAATACTTTTTATTGTTAGTTTTATAGAAATATAGCGTAAACATACATTTATAAAAATAACAATAGTACTTTAGGGCTTATTGTATTGATGATTTATCTAAATATTTTTTGCAAGTTGATAAAAGCACATATCTGCATTGAGAGTCAGAGTGTGCTGCTGTGTGCGGTTTATTGTGTCCTTTGTGCTGAATATCAGCAGCTGCCCTTGAGCCCTTTATTTAAAAGGTGAGTTTACCTTTAATCATCTAAATGGACTGATTAGGATGGACCAAGCTTAACCCTTTCAGGGGCAGCGTGTTTCATTTGAACACACAGAAGCATACACAATAGTAGAGGGCAGGAGGAACGGGGAACAACACAAAGAGGTTAGCGTAAGTATATAACCTTGAGCATCAGCCCACACATGCTGAAGATCATGCCAAGCAGGTTCATGTAGTCAGGAGTGGGGTCTTCTAGTGTAGGGTTGGTCTCTGTGCTGGGGGGCTTGTACCTGAAACAACATTTATATGTATTAAACAAGCAATGTAGTATATTATTTGTTATGCAAACGTGTTAAAAAAAACAATAATTTCCTTAATATGTACAGCTAAAAGTCTTATTTTAACACTATGGCCAATAACCTGCTGCTACATGCATCTGCACACTTCTAGTGAGGTTTTAATCCACGTGTGAAGGAAAAGAGCTGAAGACAGGGTATTAGTATGTAGTTGATGAATAGACTTTAGTATAAGTAGATATGTGATTATCCTTTGTCTTTATTGTTGAGTTTAACATTTAATCACCTTTCTGAAAGTGACAAGGACGGACAACTCTGGGGGGAAATGTCCATAACTCGTTAAAGATGTTAAATAAAAGTCTTTTTGAGACGTGAAGAGTTATGATTGAACCACCAGCTGAGCTCTACATAATAATTAATAATGGATAATTATCACGATGCTTTTGTCTGAAGTGGAAGTCCTAATCACCTCTAATCCCATTGGGAAATTATTTGACAGTGAGTTAGCTTACGCTGCTAACAGTCGGTCTCTTCAATAAGGTTTGTATATTTTCTGAATCAAAAAAAATCATACCTTAAAATCTTATTTTGCCTTCTCGGATCTGCCATATTGTTTGAAGACATATTGGGCCAAAAAGATATTCTCCTGTTACAAAATAATGGGAAGAAATGTTAACACGAGTGACCGATTCACAGCTGATCGGCCTCCGTCTGGACGGAAAGGGAACGGAAGAGCGAGGCAATTACTTCCGGTGAATTTCAAAACAAAAGCTTACCGCATCATTTGCGCGAGATTACTCTGAAGGAACTCAGTGACAACTCTTATTTTGACTGGAACATTTGAGCCCAGTATGCATTGCGTGCTCGTGCTAGCCATTAGCATCATTAGCATGGTAGCTGGCAAGTAACACGAAAGAAAGAAGCAGCTCGTAGTTTATAATGCAAATTTGGTAATTTATTCTGTAGTTGAACATCTCCTGGAAACTTTACGTTATTAAATTGGTTAAAGTATGTAAACTAAATTTTTGTAATGTTAAAAATGTGTAGTTTGTATATGCTGAGCAGCCTCTTCTGCTTCAGAATAGTTTGAAGTGTGAATGTTGTCTTGTTTTCTCACACAGAAATAATGTGATGGCGTTTCCTCAACCCAAACCTGAGGCTCCACAGCTTCCTCAGCATCTCCTCAGGACCATAGACTGTCAGCAAGGAGCTGTCAGAGCAGTTCGTTTTAATGGTACAACTCCTGATGTTACAGCATGATGAAAACAGTTTGGACATTTTAAACATGTGCTTACCCAACTTGTAAGGTTTTCAATAAATTTGTCAGATTTTTAAGTGATTTAGATCAATTGGGTTTTTTACACCATTATTATTATTTTCTTTTTAATGTTGATTTTTCACTTGGTTTCAGGCCAGTCATTATACTTCACATTTTATGAGAAATTAGACAGTGACAAGACTGAAAATCATGAACAGTAAATAATTAGTCACCACTTTAGGAAATAGTTTTAAAATACAACAACATAGACCTGACATAAGACCTGAGAGATGTGTCACCTTTCAGTAGCTCCATCCAAGGTTTTAGATGACTTGTCGTTAGGGCTGCTACGATTAATCGATGACTAATCGATTATTAAAATAATCGATGACTAATTTAATAATCGATTAATCGTTTTCTTTTTTGTTGTTGTTCTTTACTTTGTTTTTCTCTCCAAACTGCTTTGACACCTTCCACTGCCACATCTACCTTTCTGTCCTCGACACACATGCACAGTAGTGGTAACTGGGGTAGGCCGTGGACGTCACAAGACATTATACAGACAGGCTCTGGTATCATGGCTACCTGACAACATGATAAGCTGTATGTTTTATATTCAATTAACGTATGATTCGATTAGTCGACTAATCGAAAAAATAATCGGTGATTAATCGATTATTAAAATAATCGTTTGTGGCAGCCCTACTTGTCGTTGGGTATCAGTTTTTGTTGCAAAAATACTATTTTGTCATTTTTTTTGAAGGGCTGATAGTAACGATGTCTTAAGGACTCATTTGAAACGGAGTCTTTGCTGTGTTGTTTAATGCCGGATTTACTTTTACTTAAGTACTTTTTAAAAATGTTTGAGTAAATCATAGGTAAGTCAGAAAAGACTTCACCTCAACTTCTACCCTCCTTAAAACAAACAAACAATAATCACTCTATTGAAAATAGTTGAACACAAAAACTGGATTGAAATGACTAAATAAAAAGCAGACGCTGTCTGTTTAAATCCTGGACAGAATGCTTTGAAGTATTAACAGAAAGACTGATTCATTTAAAAAATAAAATATAAATATTAGGACATATCAACTTCATTTGTTGTGAACCAGTTAAAAGATCTGAACTAATGGCATATGTTTACATTGTCTTATTTTATCTAAGGCTACATCAACCCTGTAATGAGTCATCACTCTTGTTTTTCTCTGTCCTTTCATCAGCTGATGGAAACTATCTACTTTCTTGCGGCAGTGACAAATCCCTAAAGTTGTGGAGTGTGACCCGAGGGACGTTCCTGAAGACGTATAGCGGACACGGTTATGAGGTTCTGGATGCTGACAGGTGAGGAAATTGTTTCCACAATTTCTCAAATCTGAAATCAGAGTTGTCTACGGATGCTGGAAAAAGCTGTATTCATTCATTAATGCAATCGTTGATTAAGGAAAAACAAACCCTGCAGAGAAGATGAGATATATTTGGTTGGTGCTTCAATTTACAGTTAAACTGTTTCATGAGACTTTTAATAAAAGTTACTTCCAACAGTTTTCTTTTGAATTGCATGGCGTCGTTTTTCTTCGTTGTCTGTTTCCACAGTTCTTATGACAACAGCCAGCTTTGCTCGTGCAGCTCTGACAAGACGGTGATTCTGTGGGATGTTTCAACAGGTCAGGTCACACGCAAGCTCCGAGGACACGCTGGGGTTAGTTCTGCTGCCGTGTCTGCTTTTGTAAAATTATTTAAATGTTCTTTGATATGGCATGTTTGTTGGAAGTGCAAAGTGTTTCTGTTCTTGTGTACCTCTGCACGTTTTCCATTTCTTTTAGTACTACTAATATATACTGTATATATACAGTATATACATTTTTTTGCTTAAAATGTTTTCTTTTATAGAAAGTTAACTGTGTGCAGTTCAATGAGGAGGCAACAGTGATTTTATCTGGTGAGTTGGTGAATGGAAAATGTCTCCAGTGCACAGAGAACATATTACTCTAAGTCAGTTTTAACCTGAGCTATTTGTTATGATATATTTTTTGTTCGTATGTAAATCATTTTGTGATCCATGTGTTTGTATTTGTTCTCATTATTCAGGGTCCATAGATGGGTCGGTTCGGTGCTGGGACACAAGATCAAGAAGATTTGAGCCCATCCAGGTTCTAGATGAGGCTCGGGACAGTGTTAGCAGCGTCAAGGTTGCACAACATGAGCTGCTTACTGGGTAACTTACGGTAGACATGATTTTTACCTTGCCAGACAAAAAATAAAAACATTTGCAGACAAGACGTGTAAATGTACGGATTTGATCATCAGTACATTTGTAACTTGTAACCTATTTATTTTTATTATGGCAACTTAAAAATCTAATTTTTCTC